GTGACTACATTGTGTACTATATTACCACTACAGTGGGTATGTTCTAGAAGCTGCACAGAGTAATATTAATAATTTCCTGTTCGTGTGTGTGTGAGCACATGTGTGTGTATGTGTGCTCGTGTGTGCCTGTGTGCGTGCGTGAGTGCGTGTGTGTGTGTGTGTGTGTGTGTGTGTGTGTATGTGTGTGTGCTGCTATTAGGTCTTAAACTCAGGACCTCATACTCATTCTTCACTTTTTTCACTCAAGGCTGGTGTTCTATCACCTGACCTACACCTCCACTTCTGGCTCTTTGCTGGTTAATGGGAAACAAGAATCCCTCAACTTCATTTTCCTAGGCTGCTTTTGATCCTCAGATCTTAGATGTGAGCCCCCAGCATCCAGTCAACAAGAGAAGAAGTATTAATCAATCCTCTATAAAGTATTTAGTTGTGATAATACATTAGCCATGGGGCTGGGAAGGTGGCTCAGTGGTAGAGTGCTTGCCTTGCATGCTTGACGCCCTGGGTTCCAGCTTGCCTTGCATTCTTGAGGCCCTGGGTTTGATTCCTCAGCACCACATAAGCAGAAAAAGCTGGAAGTGGCACTGTGGCTCAAACAGTAGAGTGCTAGCCTTGAGCTGAATTGCTGAGGAGCAGTACCCAGACCCAGAGTTCAAGCCTCCTGAATGCCAAAAACAAAACAAAACAAAACAAAACATTAGCCACTAGAAGTGAACAGGGCTCAGTTTTTACTCTTGGTAACAGGAAGGCAGTAGCTCACAATCCTGCTTGGCAGTGCCCAGTCAGACCAATGAATGGTGGCAGGAATAGCATCAGAATTCCCTAAACTTTCATCTTTTTTTTTAAAGGGATTGATCCTCCAGCTTCCAGGGTCTATCTTTTGTTGATATTCAAGCTTGATGCGATTTCCTCCTGTCCCTGAAGAGGATGATGGTGTAGAAAAGGAACTGTGTGGCTTCCACTATACTCTGGGCATCATATCTAAACATGACATATGTACACTTGTCACTGAATCGAGAATGAAAAATGTGTGTGTGTGTGTGTGTGTGTGTGTGTGTGTGTGTGTGTGTGTATGCCTTTTAAATTTCTTAAGCACAGCTGTGGGTTTTATCTGGTGATTTCTGGAGAAGGCTGTCACCAGAGAGTGACAGCTATCATGGTAGAGATGTCAGGCTGCTCAATGGGTCCCCAAAGGAAGAAACTCAAGCAGGAGGGACAGTTAGGAAGGAATTCATATAATTCTGAGGGGTGGCATGGAACGCCCAAAGGGGATTTACAGGCCAGCACTATTGGAAGAATTGGCAAAGATAAGATGAGACCAAGCTTTTGGGGAGTGCCAATGTTCTATGGTGAAGTTTTTGGGTCTTTTTCCTGCCAAATAGCCCCATGTAACTAGGTATGGAGGTTCATGGTGTGAATTAGGTGGATAACGTGGCCAGGAAAGAATTTTCCTGTGGGCTTTGACGGCTCCCAAATTCCCAATCTCACCCCTGTCCCTTGAACTCCTCTGTGTGGCTCTTTCTCTCTTCTCATTTTCTTCACTCTTAGATCTCTACTCCCTATGTTGAATCAATGATTTCAGCTCCTTCTAATATGTCCTCATAAATGTATGATGTCACTGTTAATTAAAAGCCAACACTTCTGTATATAAAATATGTATTTAACATATACTTCTGGGGGAAAAGACTGAGAGATATAGAATGCAGAATTGAAAAACCCTTAAACTCACATGTTTTCTTTTTTTTCTCTGAAAGTATAAATGTTTATTTTACCTTCATTTGGTTTAAAAAAATTATTGTTATTATAAAGGTGATATACAGAGGGGTTATAGTTATATAGGTCAGGTAACAAGTATATTTCTTTTTGGACAGTGTCACCCCTTTCCTCACACTCTCCCCATTTAGTTTTAAGGTAAGACTCTTCCATAGAATTATGCACAATATCTTTTTCTCTACTTTGTTCTACTCACTTTCAAGAACTTGTGTAGGGGGCTGGGAAGGTGGCTGAATGGTAGAGCACTTGCCTTGTATGCATGAGGCCCTGGGTTTGATTCCTCAGCACCACATAAGCAGAAAAAGCCAGAAGTGGCGCTGTGGTTCAAGTAGTAGAGTGCTAGCCTTGAGCTGAAGAGCTGAGGGACAGCGCCCAGGCCCAGAGTTCAGGCCCACAACTGGCAAAAAAACCAAACCAAACAAAACAAAAAGAACTTGTGTAGGGCTGGGTGCTGGTGGCTCATGCCTATAATCTTAGCTGCTCAGGAAGCTGAGATATGAGGATTGTGTTTCAAAGCCAACTCAGGCAGGAAAGTGAGTGAGACTCTTATCTCCAATTAACCACCAAAAAGCCAAAAGTAGAGCTGTTGTTCAAGTGGTAGAGTGCTACCTCTGAGCAAAAGATGCTTAGAGACAGTACCCAGACCCTAAGTTCACGCCCCAGGACCAACACACAGAACTTGAGTAAGAATCAGGCACCCATGGCTCATATATAATTCTAGCTGCTCAGAAAGTTGAGATCCAGTAGTTTGAGGCTAGCCCAGGCAGAAAAGTGCATAAGACTTCATCTCCACAAAGTCAGACTGGAGGACTGGCTCAAGTAATAGAATACCAACCAAGTGAGCACATGTAATGCCTTGTGTTCAAACTCTAGTGTCAATAAAGAAAAAAGAATTTGTGTAGAATATAGTTCACTACTAAGTTCTCTGGGGACCTTCAGGTGGGGTAGCCTTAATTATAGTATCTGTTCTCTTTCAGAGCTGCTGGCAAGAGCATTGGAAAAGATCATCTTTTTTGCTTCTGTGTTCCAGGAAAAGACTGCCCTTTTTTTACCTCTTTATTTTTCATCCATCATCACAAAGACTGGGTCTGGCCCCAGATCTGCAATGTCCCCATAAAGACCATGTGCTCCCTAGCAGGAACACACAACCGGAGACCAGGGCTGTCCCAGACCTGACTGCCCCCTTGCAATACTTAGGACTTTTGAGTGTTAATCAAGTAATTGCCTTCCATTTGTTATTGGACCTAGTAATCCCTTTTATAATCCAGTATTTTGAACATGTGAAAAGTCTATGGGAAGCCAGGTGCTGGTGGTTCCTGTCTGCAATCCTCTTTACTCAGGAGGCTGAGATCTTAGGATCACAGTTCAAAGCCAGCCTGGACAGGAAAATCCATGAGCTTGTTATCTCCAATTAACCACCAGAAAACTGGAAGTGGTAGAGCACTAGCCTTGAGCAAAAGAGCTCAGGGACATTACCCATGCCTTGAGTCCAAGCAAAACAATTGACAAAAAAAGTTCATGGCAAATAACAGACCATTGTCATGGATGCACCACTGAGGTGTAAGAAAAATTCCAATATAATTTATGGACAGTGTCTTTGATGAACTGTTTTGCATTTAGATACGCCTCTGATTGAGCCATAGTACCTGTCATTTTTTGCACTCTAGTGGCTCCTGTGTTTGAGTCCCTCACTTAAACTACGAGCTAATGTTGGGTCTTACAGTATGGGGCCTGTGGAGGTTGTAACATCAGGACCAACGGCTATCATTCTCAGGCACAACCCCAGCTGCTGAATCTGCTGAGGTTTATCAGTTGTTCCCTCAACCCATGTTTTATGACTGTTTTTTTTATCATAGCATGGAGATATCTATTTTTAATAACATTTTAAGGTGTATTTATTAATGCTGTTTGTATCATGAGAGAGAGAATCACAGGACATCACCAACACCACTGCAGTCCCATTTCCCCTTGTACTTGTGTGTTCCTGTTGCTCTAATAAATTCTTGAATTTTCTTTTGAGGTACTGGGGTTTTGAACTCAGGAGCTGGCATGATACGACCAAGCTACATCTCCAGCAATTCTCATATCTTAGTCAGTATGCATCAGTTATTTGTTCTGTTTTGTTTTGTTTGTGTGTGCCTGTCTTGGAGCTTGAACTTGGGGCCTGAGCACTGTCCCTGGGCTTTTTTGCTCAAGGCTAGTGCTCTTAACACTTGAGCCACAGCTCCACGCCTGGCTTTTTGGTGGTTCTTTGGAGATAAGACTCTCACAGACTTATCTGTCTGGGCTGGTTTTGAATCCAGATCCACAGATTTCAGCCTCCTGAATAGCTAGGATTTCAGGTGTGAGCCACCAGCGTGTGGCTAGTGTTAATCAGTTTTATTATCTCTCATTTGTGTGTATCTCTACATAAATTCATCACATGCACACACTGATGCTATGATATACACTAGCTAAGATATGAAGCTGTTCCTTCATTATAGGTTCTTGTTTTCTCTGCCCTCATTTGTTTGTTTATTTGTTCACATATACATTATATATTATGTCTTAACATTATGCAGAGCAACTCCTCTCACTTTACTTACTTTTTTCTGAAGAATTTCTTCTATTCTTGTTCCTTTGCTTTCTCCTTCAGATGAGATATAACCTTGTTTGCGTCTATAAAAATGTTCCTGCATATTGGTGAGAATTGCATGGAAACCACAGGTCAATTTGCAGAAAAATCAGCACTCACTCTGCTGTGCATCAAGAGATCAAAAACTGTGAAAGCCCTGGGAATTTACAATGAATCAGTTAAAAAGAAGGATAGCTGAAGAAATGATAAAAGAAGGAAGAGGGGCAGCAGGTAGCTGGTGGAATGAGAAAGCGTAAGAAAAAATAGTGTGCAAAGAACACAGTAGAATTGTGAAGAATGGCAATATAATCAGAGAAAATTTTTAAAAAGATAAAAATAATAGTAAATGTACATCAAATAAATATCAAAATATTCCAAACAGAAGAAACATCAGTGTGTGTTCCTTGGCGAGCAGCAGAGCATCTTCCAGCTGTGCTGAGTCCCTGCAGAAGGCGTGTGCTAGCTGTGCAATGTCTCTGCAGCAGGTGTGCTTCAGCTGTGCTATGTTCATATACCAGCAGTGTTCCAGATGTGCCAGTCACTGCAGCAGGTGTGCTCCAGATGGGCCGTGTCCATACAGAAGGCATGTCCCAGCTTTACCATGACCCTGCGGCACGTGTGTTCCAGAGGTGCTGTATCCATGAAGTAGGTGTGTTCCCTCTGTGGTGTGTCCGTACGGCATGTATGTCCCAGATGTACTGTGCCCATGCAGCAGGTGTGCTCCTTCAACTTCTGGCCCTCATTGTGCCCTGTTGTGGCTCTCTGGGCAATCACTCTGGGTACTTCTGGCCCTGGGATTGCATGTGATTCCTCTGGGTTCAATCTGGGTAAACTGGCTGATGGTTGGCTGAGACTCTAAGGCAGGGATAGTGGTTGGAGGGCCTGTGAGGGGCAGCAGCTCTCCAGATAATGGCTTAGGGACCCATGGCAGTGATTCCGGTGGGTGTGAGGCCACCCCAGGGATGCGCTACAGTGGGTGGAGGCTAGGTAGAGTAATCTCTCATGCACAGCTAGTGCTGAGTCCTGCTCCATGGCTTGCCATGCTGAGGATCTCTGGATCATCACAGTGGAGCTGGCCATTCTCCCCTACAGGACCATCAGTCCCTGGTGTTTTGTTTGTGCTGCTCTCTTGGAGCCCGTGGCCCACCCCACACCATCACTATGCCAAGGCTGGGGGTGTGTAGGGACAATACCCTCCCAACACCGCTCAGCAGTGACGGCCCCTCCCGCATCTCACTGAGGGGGCTCAAAGCTTGGGACTCTACCCCAGGGAAATGTGTTCTTCGTTCCTTTTATAGCTCTAAAGTTTAAAGCTTCTGATTTTTTCCAATCTATATTCTTTTTCTTAAATATTGTTAATGTTATCGTTATTAAGAGGCTGTCCAGTAGGGTTACTGTTTCGCAAGTCAGGTGATGAGATCATTTTTTTTATTGCTATTATAAAGGTGGTGTACAGAAAGAGTACAGTTACCTAAGTCAGATAACAAATACATTCCTTTTTTGGACAATATCACCCCTATCCTTGCTCTCTCCCAGTTTTTCCTCCCGTCCTCACCCACAAGTGGTATAGTTCATTTTTTAACATAGTGTCTAATGAGTACCACTGCTCTATTTGTTCACCTTTTGTCTCTCCATTTCTGTGCTTCCCTTATACTGCCAAAGGTAAATGGACAAATAAGACAGAAAAGAAAAATAGTAGCAAAGAAAAAAAACTCTTTTTTCCATTTCCTGGAGTTCATTTGATAAATATTATTTTATATGATCAGAGACATATAGACATTACACCTTTGTGTTCCTCTCCTAAGAGTATCCTCTTTTGATCTTGGTGTGAATGCCTAGAGTCCTGTACACTTTATCCTGTTCCTGTGTATTTTAGGTCTAGCTTCCACATATGAGAGAAAACATTTGTCTATGTTTGGCTTACTTCACTTGACATGATCAGCCTGGATTTTTTTTTATTGTAAAGATACTATACAGAGTGTTACAGTTACATGAGTGAGGTAATGAGTACACTTCCTCTTGAACATTGTTAGCCCCTCCATTGTTTTCCCCCTACCATCCCCTCCCTCCCT